CAGTGTCAAAATCGGGTTTCCCCTCCCATTCTCTTATTTTCTTCAAAATAATTTCCCAAACTCTCTCTTTTCTCTCTCACACTCACCCCCCCTTCGACTCTCAACAGCAGCGGCGCCACCGACGCCCACTGACGGCAACAGCTCCACCGCCGGCGTCCTCCACTGCCCAGGTAGGTTTCTCTCTCCTTTCTTTGTTTTTTTCGAAATACACTTATTTTGTTTAATTCCTCCTAGTTTGATTTGTAAAATTTAATTGTTCTTAGCTAAATTAAATCTATGATAATTGTTAGTAGCTAAAATATTTAGTTTTACCTACTAATTTGGGGAAGAAATGGTTTGAAGAGAAGAAACCCTAAACCCCACTAATTCCTATTAAATTTGTTATGTGTTGTCTTGAATTTTGCTAGTTAGAATCTAGGGTTTATGATTTGTTCTTATGAATCGAACTTTTAAGGTATGGGTTAAATTTTTCGGATATAATCCTAATTTTTAGGTTTGAATTATAACCTTGCATCTTTGTATTTCTAGTTTTTGTTTCAATTATACTTTGTATTGTCTTGATAGTTTAGTTAGAATCTAGGGTTTAGGATATGAATTGAACCTTTAGGATATGAACTGGACTTTTAGTTTATGGATTGAACTTTTAATTTATAAATTGAGTATTTTAGGATATGAATTGGACTTTTAGTTTATGAATTGGACTTGTAGTTTATAAATTGTAATTTTAGGATATGATTTGAACTTTTAATTTATGAATTGGACTTTTAATTTATAAATTGAAATTTTAGGATATGAATTGAACTCTTAGAGAAGAGCGAAAGAGGAAAGAAAGCTCGCGCATCTGAGAAGGGAGGATCCTTGCACACTGGAGGTGCGATCAACTTAGGGACAATAAAAAGAAGAATGGTACGTAATTGCTTCATTTATTTTAATTTTCAAAGTATATCTATTCTATTTATTAACTAAAATTTATGAGTTTTCAGAAAAAGAAGTTGGGCGTCCGATGAACCAAGATGAGCTATTCAAGGAGACTCATATTGTGAAGAAGAAGAAAGAGGCAGATCAAGAAAGGTGGGTCGAGGGACAAGCCTCGACTATACATGTAATTTTTCACTTTTCATTAAGTATTTTGATTTACTTTTATATAATTTTGAAATACTAATTCAATGTAATTTTTCTTATAGGGTCGCTACACAGCTGAAGTGGAGGAATTCATACGCAGTCAGCCACCTAATGAGTCGGGCGGGCCAATCCAACCTTCGGACGAGGATGCTGAAAGAATGTGGACGGAGGCTGCAGGCGGTCCAAAATGGGGGAAGGTATACGGGCTTCCTACTAAGAAATTCCATCGCTATAAGTGGGGAATGCAAGGAATAGGGACTTCCTTGCAAGCCGAACAACTTGATGGGGAGAGCCTCTGACTGTGACAAAGCTCACATCCAAGCTAGAAGCGGCCAAGGAAAGAGAAAAGCTTAAAGATGCTCAGTACATTGGCGTGGTCGCTCAGTGCCAGGGCATGCAAGAGCAGCTCAAATCTCTCCTAGCTTCTGGAGGTTTTCAGATTCCCGGGTCTTGTGACTCATCGCCAGAGGCTCGCCTTCCCCGTGCTCGTTCCTCCCATCCTCCAAGTGCTCGTTCCTCTCGTCCTCCCCGTGATCGTTCTTCCCATCTTAGATAAGTAGACCCTTCTGGATACCGTCTTCCTGATGAAAGTTCATCAGACGGTGATGATAATGATGTACAAAACACTCATTGACTTTTATACACTTTGAACTAGACAAATAGAATCGATTTTCGAATGGGCTTGTAATAAGAGTTAACTTAGTTTGGTTAGCTTAATGTGGTAGTTCTATTGAACTTTATACCTTGTTGGTTTTAATGTTGTTTTTGTGTTGTTGTTGTTGTTGTTGTTGGTATTGTTGTTGGTATTATTATTGTTGTTGCTTGTAATAGGGATTTGGTATGACTGACAGGTGGTGTAGCTGCCAAAACAGGCAGTTTCTGCCAAAACAATACCCAGAAAAGCGACCAAAGTTGGTCGCTTTTTGGTTGCTTTTTAATTAAAAATAATAATTTTCTGGAAAATAGCGACCAAAGTTGGTCGCTAATTAACCCAGATTTCTCAAAAAGCGACCAACCTTGGTCGCTATTCCATTAAAAAAATAATTTCTGGAAATATAGCGACCAACTTTGGTCGCTTATATTTAAAAAAAAATTAAATTCTTGAAATTAGCGACCAAAGTTGGTCGCTTATTTTTAAAAAAAATTAATAAAAGAGCGACCAACCTTGGTCTCTATTTTCCAGATTTAAAATATAATATTTGTATTAGAGACCAAAGTTGGTGACTTTTTTATGATTAATAATAAATAAAAAAACCGTATTTTACATTTAGAGACCAACTTTGGTCGCCAAAATTATATTATTAAAATAATAAAGCGACCAAAGTTGGTTTACGATAGAACTTTGGAACTCCAGAACACGAAAAGCTCCAGTATAATATGCAGGATTATGGAGTTCCTGCATATATTCTTCTAGTATATGAATTACGATAGAACTCCAGCACATTATAAAATTCTAGCATATTATCCTGAAAGCTCATATATAAGAAATTTAAAATTTTCAACATATTTAATATGCTGGAATATTTCCGGATTTTTAACAGTGTTTTTTTTCCAGATTTTATCTTTACATGAAAAGTGGCTTACTTTTGAAATTGTGACTATTTTTCAATTACTAATTATAAATATGGCTATTTTTGAATTTCACCCGTTTTTATTAGTAAGGTAGAAGAACTCTGCTGCTTGTCATTTATTCGATAACTGCACTACAGATCCCAAAATAAACTATGGTGAAATTGTTTTTCCTCATAAAATATAATTGATGAGAATAATTTCGAGAATTAAAAAATATATTTTAAACATGAAATTATTTTGTCATAAAAAAGAAAATCTTTAAACTGAAAATATATATAATTTAAATTATTTTTTGTTAATGCTCTATATAAACATTAATTGATAAAAATCTAAAAAAATGGAAAGCTATCTATCTTTCATGATGATCAAAATATATTGACAGTGTAAGAAAATCGTTTTAAACTATTCTCCACATATATAATTTAAATCATTTTAAATTACGCAATGTGAATCTAAATTTATAAAACTGACCCCACTTTCACCATATTTGGTTAATAATCTCCTCTCAACCCCTCCATTTACTTTTTCCCACTACAAGTTACACCCCTCTACCCCCACTACACACATGCACGACTCTTTCTTCCCCTAAATACTGTCACTTCCCTTCTCTATAAAAACTCAACCACAATCCTCAAAACCAAATACTAGTTCTTTCTTCTACCCAAAAAAATCTCATTTCTCTGTTTCCCTAAGATCCAGGGCATGGCTACCTTTACACTTCTCTCTCTCTTTATTCTCCTCTCTTTGCTCTCTGTTGCTCATTCTGGATCCATTGGAATCAACTATGGCCGAATCGCAAATAATCTCCCTCCACCAGCCCAAGTCGTTCAGCTCCTCAAAACCCAAGGCGTTAACAGAGTCAAGCTTTATGATACTGATTCCAATGTTCTCACAGCCCTTTCTGGCTCTAATATATCAGTTACTGTTGCTCTCCCCAACGAGCAACTCGCTGACGCTGCCGGAAAACAATCTTTCACTGATTCATGGGTCCAATCCAATATTCTAACTTATTACCCAAAAACCCAAATAGAATCCATTGCTGTAGGAAACGAAGTTTTCGTAGACCCGAAAAATACAACCAAATTTCTCGTACCTGCCATGAAAAACATGTACGCATCTCTCGTTAAATACGGCGTCGCTCAATCAATAAAAGTTTCATCCCCTGTAGCTCTCAGCGCGCTGGGAAATTCCTACCCTTCGTCCGCCGGTTCTTTTAAACCGGATCTTGTCGAACCCGTTATTAAACCGATGCTGAGTTTCCTCAAACAAACAGGTTCTTACCTCATGGTCAATATTTACCCCTTTTTCGCGTATGCTGCTAATACGGACACGATTTCGTTGGATTATGCTTTGTTTAAGGATAACAAAGGTGTAACGGACCCGAATAATGGGCTTGTTTACAAAAGCCTGTTTGAGGCCCAAATTGATGCTGTTTATGCAGCGATGAAAGCTGTGGGTTTTGGTGACGTGGCAATGGCGGTTTCTGAGACTGGCTGGCCTTCTAAAGGTGATGAAAACGAAGCTGGTGCTGGTGCTGATAATGCTGCTGCTTACAACGGTAATTTGGTTCGTAGAGTGTTGACTGGAAGTGGGACCCCTTTAAAGCCCAATGAACCTCTTGACGTGTTTTTATTTGCTTTGTTTAATGAGAATCAGAAGCCCGGGCCCACTTCTGAAAGGAACTACGGGCTTTTCTATCCTAATGAACAGAAAGTTTATGATATTACCCTCACAAAGGAGGGTTTGGAGAATGGGCCCACCATGAATAACGGGAGTAAAAACACGGTGGTGACTGCGCCGGAGCCCGCGGCGGCGCCGGTTAGCGGCGGAGATGTGGAGGCGAGTAAGGTGGGGAACACGTGGTGCGTGGCCAATGAGAAAGCTGCACGTGAGAAGT